ATGGAAGCTGCCGTCGCCGACTGCCGTCGCCGACTGGGATCCCTGGCTTCGTCCTGGCTTTGTTTTTCAGCACTTTCGCGTGCCTGCGTGTGTATTTAATAGTCTGTGGTTTGACATTGACTGCCAGGCGGCCCTATATACACACGGCTATACGAGTATATACAGATATGCCCTGCCCGGAATTATATACACATAAAGTGCTCTGCATTAATTCGCCGCTCAAGTTGTAAGCCGAGCGAAAGGGCTGAAAGGCTGGCGATGATTTCGTGCCCAGCGAGATCCACCTGCCCCCCAGCCAGCCAGCAAGCGATTCGATTATCGTGTCAAATTTTAATTACTCAAATTACAGCGCGCGGCTTTTTATGCCACCGATTTACTTTCTCTAATGCTCTCAGACTCTCACTCTACTCTACTCCACTCTGCCCTGCTCTGCACTCCTCCTCCTCCTAATGTATATCTCTCAGAGAGTTGTCAACGCTGTCAGAGAATGTCTTTTGGTCATTAAACATCCGGACTGGTCGAGGCGGCGGCGGCGTGGGGGGCGGCGATTTGTGGGGACATTTTAAAGCCTGCTAAATAAGTGAAACAATTGACCCGAGTTGAATGTTGTTTGTTCCTGCAGCGTAGCTTGGAATTTTCTTAGATTTCGCTGGAAATGGGGCGGAGGTGACCGCAGACTTAAGGTTTATTTTGCCATAAAAGCGAGCTGAAATTAAGTTATCTGCGAGACAGTACTTACATCCATAATTATGCTAAGTATTTGTTTTTCAGTTGCATGATTCTGAAAGCTATAGCTGCGGAGATAACGAACAATCCATCTCTGCTGATTGCAAAAAGATTACACAAATTATGAAAGAATTAGTTCTAATTTAAGCTAACGAATTCTAAAGAACCCAAAGCCTTTAATTTTAATCACAATCAATACAGAAAGCTTGAACAATCGAATAAGTCGCTGTTTTATTCGGGATCTGTATATACATATATGTTTGTATATATAATATATTCTTTCTTTAGGCAATCGGCTAAACCCTTCGGTTAAATAATAAGTTTCAAGATATTTAAACATAAAATCGACATTAAATACGAAATAGATATTAAGTTTAATCAAAATCAAAGACAATTTTGTTAACCATTTCTTATCATTTTTATAAATATTGCCCAGCTCTTATCTTTTTCGCTAATGCATTTTGTGGGTGGGGAGAGAAGGACCTTTATTCTGCCAAGTTCATCAATTCGCCGGCAATTTGACACGCAGCTCGGGGTCTATTAACCAAAGCGAACCATGGCAGAAAGGATTTGCCCGGCAAGGCAACCAGTAGCCAAAAAATATCTCTGTCTATCCATCTTTGGTTTAAAATCTGGTTGAAAAAAAGAAGGGAGGATGAGGATGAGGTTGAGGCTGAAGCGGATGAGGATGAGGAGAATGGGTGATGGCAGGGCAGTAGAAGCGACGACTTAGGCCGCGTTAGTCCTTTAATATGCCAAGATTGACGTCGATTATGCATTAATAGGACACGCACTATAAATAACGCGCCTCTGGGCGTCGCTCTCTCTCTCCCTGTCTCTCTGTCTCTATGCAGTGTCGTGCCGTGACGTCTGAGGGGCCTAATGAACGGTTTTTTGAGCATACGTTCCACGCTGCCGCCCCAGGGAGTGAGTGGGAGAGTGACAGATAGAGAGTGCCTGCCGTTGGTGGCGCTTCGAATTTTGCGCTGACATTGATTGATTATAAATCGGCATACATTGCAAATCCAAAGAGAACACAATAACTGCTCTGCTTATCCTTTGTGTGTGGTGTGGTTCTTGTTCTGCTGCTGCTGCTGCTGCGGCTGCTGCTGCTTCTGCGGTTGCCTTTGTTTGGTCTGTGACAGCTTTTAATCTAGCACGAGGCGACGGAAACATCACCAACCCACACCACCCACAACAAATGATATAGGACTGGACTGCTAAAGTGCCTGGGACTCGAGCATATTTGAAAATCACTTTAGTTCATATTTCGGACACACACACATTGAGCCAGAGACAGAGAGAGAGAGCCATTGAGACCCTGAGACCTTAGCCAGTTTTCATTCGAGAGAGAAAAGTCCAATCCAGTCCGTTTCTGATTCTGGGTTCAGGGTCCAGCGTCCAGGGCGTTAATGATGCGGTTTTTGGTCAGCCGCAGTCTCTATCCATCCCATCCTCAGAGCTTCATTGACTGCCGTACACGCAATTTACATAATGGCCAACGCCTCCTGGATGTGGGCTGCAGTAGTGGAGTGGAGCGGAGCGGAGGAGGCTTTCAACAGCAACAACAACAACAACAACAGCAAGGGAGACCCGTTGATGGCACGTTTTTGATTTCAATTGCTATTGCCAGTAGTTTCACTTGACTTTATGTCCACTCCTACTCCTACTCCTGCTCCTGCTGCTACTCCCACTCATGCTTCCGCTCCAGCTCCTGTTCGCTGCCCTAGGTTGGTGCTTCGTTTTGGATGTCTGGCCTATATAGGTTGCTTGGCGCCATTTTATGTACGTAGCAAAACAAAAGTTATGGCCCGATTTTCCCTATCTATTGCCTATGTCTTCCTCTCACATTCACATTCCCACTCCCACTCCCATTTGTGGATCGGGGGGCTGGGGGGCGTTCTGGTAACAAGTGGGACATTTGCCAGTTTGTCTTTCTTGTTGTTGATGTTGTTTGGCAGCAGCAGCAGCAGCAATAAAACCAAGAAAAAATCGTTGACGCCACCCTTTTTGTTTTTGTTTTTGTTGTTGTTGGTCTAAAAGTTACGTTACGCATCTACGAGTAATAGGAAATCGGCATAAGTAGATGTGTACACAATCCGATTCGTAGTTTTTCTTATCCCTTTGCTCTATGATAATTTTAAGCAAGCGAAAGCGAAGCAGAGACAATTACGTGGCGCTTTCCCGGCCAGAGGACAATCCTGATGATGGGGCAATGTGTAGGTCTGAGAGGGGATGTGCAGGGGGGACACAGAGCTCCTCAGCTATAGCAAATTAATAGGAAACACACACACACACACCCGCACACACACACATCCACATGTGCTCGTAAAATGTAATGTCATAAGTGCTGCGCCTGAACCTAAAACATTCCGCTTAACGCGTGTCCCGCACTCAGCATCCCATGCTAGCAATGGGCAAGAAATAATGCTAGAGCGGAGGGAGAGTTCCGACCAACAGATACCCGCTATGGAGTGTATCTGATGGAGCGTACTTGTTTCTTTATAGGATCTAAGATTTAGACAGATATTTTCTGGTGTTTACTTTCTATAACTTGTTAGCCATCAGAGAACGCTGTGGAAATTCGTTTACTATGGCACATACCCCTTGTCACTCCACGTGTTACGAGGTACAAAATGTTGCTTCCACTTTGGCTTCCTACTCGTGCTCGTATCTTGAGGATTTCCCATTTAGCTGGGCGGGGTAAAATATTCGGATTAGTTATGCTGTTGGTCTGCCCCAGGCAGTGTCTGCCTGGCTTCCTCCAGACGGGGGTTTGGGTGGCGTGGCTCTTGTTCGCTTTGTGACCAAGATGAAGGACCAGAAGCAGAAGCACAAGCAGGACCAGGACTATAACTAATTCCATGGTTATGTATTGTAGTTTTGCTGGCCTTGCCCGGCGCTTAACTGCAGCATTCATTGCTCACAAATTGGCAGGCAGAGCCGGCGGCTTCCAATCTAACTGTTGCTTGCCGGGGAGGATTCCAGGTTGCGGAGCAGCAACCTGTCCCCTGTTGTTGTTCAGTCAGTTAGTGGCTTATTTGCTAGCGAAAAATATCCTGTTCCAGCTTCCGTTACGCACAAGGAGCCCGCTTGGAGGGAGGCTGGGATTCTAGGGATCCATCTAGTGCATAGATTTATCTAAAATAAGTGAACCATCTAATTGTTCAATAAGTTCATCGTTGGCCCCCCCGGCTCCAAAGGAGAAGGCGGAAGTGGAAGTCCCTGCAAATCCTGGGGACACGAAGACCCACAATTCTTGTTGCTTGTTTAGAATATCCAGCGAATGAATAGCCAGCTTAGGCAAATGGAATCTGCACCTCACCCCAGCTCTCCGGACCCAGCAGAAGCCGCAGGCTCCATCTTCCAGTGGTGCTTAAACCCAAAATTAGGGGTGGTTCCCAGAAGTGTGTGTGTGTGTGTGTGTGGGTGGGTAGACTGGGGGGCTGGCTGAGCGAGCGAGCGAGTGTGTCTGGGCCTTCTTACGGGCCATAAAATTTAAAAGCGAGCAAAGCATTTTAGCTCTGGTGCAATTTATTAGGCCGGCTCATCGCGGCGCATTTTGTGCCTTTGCGTAACAATTGCCTTCATCTGTTGATAAATCCTTGGCCTGGCACCAAGTAAATTGAAAATATACCCCCCCGCCCAAGGAAATCGTCCCATTTCGAGAACCAATCCCCGATACCACCCACCAAAGGTGGACTCTGGCGTCGGTTGTGCAGCGAACTGTGTCGCAGTTGTAATTATCCACGCACATGTCTCTGGCATCGCCATTGAGCCTCAGACCGAATCTGTGTCTGGGCTTTAAGCGAACCTTAAGGACGTGGCAAGGACAAAGAGCTGGAGCTGGCGCTGTCGCTGGTTACGGTAGCGCTTCCGTTTATGCTACTGCTACAGCTTTTGGCTTTTATGCAACTGCATTGGCCACCCGCTGGCTGCTGGAGCGGCGGCACTGGCATTCAAAACAGCAGCCAACTCTGCCCACCAGCTGTGCCGCTACCGCTGCTGCTGCTGCTGCTGCCTCCGCATCCGAAAGTGGCGTGAAAGTTATGAATTTTAAACATTTTCTGCCAAGGAACAGAAACAGGAGAACCGAACGCCCCTGCAGCAGCAGTAGCAGCAGCCACATCCATATATCAGCTCCATGTCTTCGTGGCGACTGCAGATTTATAGCGCACCCAGAATCAGCAATTGTGGGTGAATCCTCCTACGCCTCCTGCTGTACTCCACTTCGCACTCGCAGCTTGCAAAAAGCATTGAAAGATTTATTTATACAAAAATAAAAAATTAAGTGTTTTATGAAAAATCTGCCTTTTAAAATGGAATGACATTCGTGCCCTAAGATGCTGTGCGATTGTTGCGCCATATGTCCACATCCGTTTGGAGGCACTTGCGGTACCTGTAGTTGACCAGGCCAATGGAATACATGGGATTGGCCGCCTTGTAAAAGTGCAATCCGCGACCGATTTTGATTATGTAGCCATTGCTCAGACTGAAAGCACAGGAAGCATGTGTTTGTGTGTATCAATGGAAAGATTAGATAGCTGCAATAAATCGATGACTCAATGGATTTGTATTGGTAGCGGGAAGACTTACTAAATTCTGCGGTCGTGCAAAGTGTCTTCGTACTTTATGGAGACAACGATGTCCCGTCGCTCCAGGTCAGCTCTAATCTGTCCCAAGTTTGTCTTTTGCTGATCGGGATTCTTTGGATCCGTGTACTCTTTGGTAATCAAACGGAAATACTTCAAGTTTTTGCAGTTTGTAATGGCCAGCTCCAGGAAGCGTACGAGGTTCTGATACTGTAAACAAACCAATCGAATGTACGCTGTTCTCCCATCAAAGATTAGCTCAGTTACCTGATAGTTTTGCGTCATGTAGGGCTCCTCGAGCAGAATCTCAACGGTTTTGTCGTCCATGTACTTGCCAAAGATCTGATCGTAGTCGTAGCCCGTGTCGTTCTCCTCTATCGAGACGTGGTCCACCACTTCGCCCAGCATTAGCTTGCCATTGACGCGGGCCTTGATGGCATCGGCCCGATCAATGTACTCCTTGATGCGCAGCAGGAACGCCTTCCGCTTCGACTCATCCGGCTCGGTCTCCACGAACAGCATGAGCTGCGCGATGCCATCTTGGTAGAGCGTCTGCGCCTCCAGTATTCGTCCGATTTGGTCGCATTCCACAGCGCGTATCAGTTGTTCTTTGGCTTTCAGTGCGGCGCTCATCTTTGCATCGCACGGGGGGAGGTTCTTTCAAGTGGATTTGCTGGCACTGCGGGCTTAAAATTATTTATTGTGCAACTCCACTTATTTTAGCTGCGCAAACCGATCAAATAAACAAAAAAAATGCAACAGGTTCCAGCTGTTCGCAGAAACAGGGTTGCTAATGTCAGCGTTTGTCCAGGGCTGACAGATGTGTCGCTGCCGCGTGACCGTTGGCGTTTGAATTTGTCAGAGCGGGGTCGGGTTGGGTCGGTCTTTCGTTCGCCCATAAATATTTAGTTCCTTCGGTTTATGCTGATGTGGCTTACGAGCAATTTACCTGAAAGCGAAAGCGAATGCGTTTATCGCCAAATGCCAGACATGGCATCCAGCCACATCGAACCAAATTCAATTTCACTAAGCCAAATATTAATTTATTTGTGTTTTCGTTTCTAGCTCTCTCCCTCTCCTTCTCGCTCTCTCCATCAAAGGTGACCACTCGAATCGAAACCAAGGAAAAAACCGAAAACGTTTCGTGTAATTTGGAGTGGTTCGGGGGGCTTTTGGGTATCCTGGCGGCGGCGGCAGCCCCATCCCATCCTTATTCCTTATTCCCGTATTTTTATTTATGTCATAAATTTTAAGCCATTGGGAGCTGTACATAGCTGTGCGGGAAAGAGAACGTGACGTCAGCTTATAGTTCACATTTTTGGGGCTTAAATTTTTCGCATTTTGAATGCGAATTAAGCAGAAAGTAAAGTCATTTAGGTGATTCGACATAAAACTTTCCCCGACCCCTCCCCACTCACCGGGCAGCATATTCAATGATTTGTTTGTTTTATGTATTTTACTTACTACTACCTGGAGGGGGTTCCAACTGGTTCAACTGGTTTACGGAACTGATCTTGTCGCAAAAAGCTTGCATACTTTCGGGCTTCCAGTTGAAATGGCAGCGCGCGTTTTAAATTTAAATTCAAACTGCCCCCACCAGCTAGAAACACTCGAGAATATCGTGTTTAATTTGTAAATTAGAGCACTTTAAGTGCTGGAAACGAAAGTGACCTTGCTGGGGCGAAATAAGTCCTGTCAGAGAGCTTTTCAAGTGCCACGCTGGACTAACTTTTTGTTTGGAATTAGTGGAATTGTATCTTGTAAAACACCAACTCAAGTGGGCTAAGGGCTCAAAGCCGTTCTCAAGCAGCAAGCAGCAGGCAGCAAGCAGGCAGGCAGGCAGCTTCAGGCCTAAGAGCGGAGCTCTTCCACATGTCACCCAATAATGCGCTGTGATGTGCGAAGCCACTTGCCATCGGATTCGGAGTGGCCAGGGATTGGGATTGGGATGGTGATGGTCCACTGGATTGAGAATGGAATGGGGAATGTGTATGGCATCCGAATCGGTTGCTGGGGGCAGTGGTTAGCTCATATTACGGGTATCTTGGCGCCAGCTTTTTATCGACGATTATTTTCTTTAACTGTGTGAGTGCGTGTGTGTGTTTGATTGTTGTTCTTGTTGGTATTTTGCCTTTTCGTTCAATATTTGCTTGCTGTTCCTATTGCTGCTGCCTGCTGCTGCTTCTTTTTGTACTCTTTTCAGAGGGTATTACGATTTTGAAGTAGCTGTTTGTCATGCAAACACTTAAGCATATTCCGTCCAATAAACTAAATCTTTCTTGTATCCGAAAAGAGTACAAGAACGGCGCTAAGATTGGAGTAAAATTTAGACATTTCAGTCATTTTTTCCACAATCTACAATCACTTTATTATATAGATATCGTTCCTATGATTGATCTGGACTCGATCTTGAAGGATATCCAAGGCTTCGGCCTTGTGGTTATTCCCATATTCTTGTTGTTTTGCTACTTCTTGGGCTACTTCGGCTTCAGCTTCTGCTTATTCTCCGACTCCTGCTCCATCGTTCATTCTGCTTTCTGACTCTCTCTCTGAGCTGCTTCCTTTTTTTCCGCCACTTTTGCAGCCTTTCTCGTTGATTTTTATTTGTTTCTCTTTCAATTTATTTTGCCATTTCGTTTTCCTTTCTGCTGTCATTGCTGTAGCTGTTTTCTCCTGTTTGTTGCTGTTGCTGCCATTTTCATCGCTTTTATTACAAACACACACACACACACACACACACAGACACATGTGGAGCAGGCTCCCCAACATTGTGTGTCCTTCACAGTGCGTGTTTGTCAGTCTATGTCCGCCCCCACTCCCCCCTGCTTCTGCTTCTGTGTGTGTGTGTGTGTGTGTGTGTCTGCTTTGTGGGTGGAGATGTGGGGAAGAATCTGTTTGTTTGCTGCTAAATGTGCGCTCAGCCCGCCACTCATTTATGTCGTCGATGTGCCACAGCCGCTGTCACCCTCTGCACCCATCAGAACCGAAACCGAACCGAACCGAACCGAACCCAACCCAACCCAACCAAACACCCCCCTGCTGATGGCACTGCCACAACGTAGTCCCATCCCCATCCCCGTCCCCGTCCCAACCCCAACCAGTGGCACGTTCGTTAACGTTCAGTTTTCCACTTGATGCTATTTATGTTTGCTTCCATTTTTCAAGAAGGATCAAAATTTATATTGGCTAAAAAGTCCCTCGAGAGCTTTCAGCGCGCTTTCAGCTCCGCGCACACATTTACAGATGTAACAAATTGTAACACAATCGTAACTGTTTGCTCTGGGGTCTGTCCGGGGTCGCTCGATGGGTTGGCTCAAATCATAACCTCATGAACTTTTCGCCTCGTACGGTAAGTGGCCGCCACACCACACCACACCACACCACCCCACCCCACTCCACTCCGCCTGTCTGTATGTCCGCTGTCCCACCAGTTCTATATATGTATGTGTGTGTCCCCTGTCCTAGACGAGTATATAGCCTCTCCCATTCTTATCCACAGAATTGAGAGATGCCAAGCAATTGAATTGAGCTGCAATTGTTTTGATTTCTGGCCCAGGGCTTTCCGTTTCATCTGCCCCAACCCCTCCTCCAACAGTCTCTCTTTTCCTATGAGTATATACATATATATTATGACTTTTCGTATTTATCGCCTGGTGCTCCATATAGGAGCCTGCCTCATGCCTCCTGCCCCTTCGTGCGCTCGTCAAGTGTGGCAAAAATGTAATAAACAATTCGAGATGCTTTATTGCTGCAGCAACTCAATTTATATGGCTGGCCTGGTGCTAGTCCTGGCTGCTTGATCCTGTTTCTACCTCCAGGCTGTCCTGCCAGCCAGCGAGCCAGCCCTATTCTTCTCCTGCCTCCTGCCTGCCTCCTGCCTGCTATTGTTGTGCGTCAGTTTCCATATTAAGCACACAAATTGATGATGTTAACAATGACGATACAAGAATGGACTGCTCTGCTCTGCCCTGCCCTGCTCCGCTCCATGACTGGACAAAAGTTGAAGTTTTTGGCGTTTTGGCGGCCAACCGGAACAGCGCATGGGCCAACTGAAATGGAAACTGCCAGCAACTATCGCTAGACATAATTCCCATATACACGCGAATATTGGATGCCTAAGGCAGGCGTCAAAGAATCGCACAGAGTTTATTGGGAAGGGCGGAATATCCCTGAAAATACCTCTACAATTTTCTTCTTGCTAAGAAATATTTATAAAATAAAATGATCTACTATATAAATAGTTCTACCTTTTATGCTGTGCTTAAAGAAATTTCTTGGAGCCGAATAATATTTTAAATACATATTGATGTATTTGCTAGCTTATCTTATAAAAATAACTAAAGAACTTTCCGCCCGAAGAACTTTCACTGCATATTGGTGTCAAATAAGTTGTTTTATCCATCAAAGGAAGATGTCCAACACATGGACTGTCGCCTCTGTTCGCTACTCTACGAATATATGTATATATGTATGGTATGTATATGCACATACAACACATACTTATGTACGTTAGCATGGCCAAAAATGGCTTTAATGTTTTCACATTTGCTTTGTTGGCTTTGATGGAAGTGAACTTCGGAGCCATACAGCCCACCCACCATCCCACCCCACTCAATCCCCCAGGCTCTGAGAGCCTTTCCCCTGCCCCCACTGGCTCGACAAATCAATTGAAAACTGACAGTTGTGACTAAACGGCGCATATTTCCCTGACATCTGTGTGGGAGACTGTGTCTGTCTCTCAATCCATACTCACATATCCCCCCATATCCGCATATCTGGTCTGCTCTGCTCTTCTCTTCTCCATGTGTGAGGGAGAGTATCCTTCGTATTGTGCTCTGCTCTGCTCTGCTCCCCGATCTCCGCCCTCCCACTCCTGTGTCATGCATATTTCTGTATTGGATTTCAGTCCATTACGCGTCGTTCGAGTTTCGGGAATTGGATATCGGCTTTTATACTATATCTATGTATATGGTATATGTATTGTATGAATGGGGGCCCTGTTGCCTATGCTGGTTCTGGTTCTGTTTGTGTTCCGTTTGTGCATTAACGAAACTCACGCACGCCAGCCAGTCAGCCAGCCAGCAGAAGGCTGGGAAAATGTCAGGGGCTTGATTTATCCTGTCCAACTCCAGTGCTGCGTGTTTGGCCACAATCAATCGATTGCCGCCATCGCCATAGCCCATCCATGGCCCATCACCGCTTGGCTGTTTGTAACTGTCGCTCAGGGCGTGCCTATGCACGGAAAAGGACGGGATGGGACCAACTACGGACTACGGACTACCGACTAGCGACTGACTAACTGACTGACAGACCCGGACGCTGATCCAGAATGCGGCAAAGGCAACAGCTGAGCGAGCGCGAAGGGCAATAATTAAAATCGGGTGTTACGCGCCCGGGCCCCGTAATTAGTTGCACAGGTCGAAAAACGCTAAACGCTCAACGCTTCCTCCATTCTCCTTTTGCCACACACCACACAGGCCTGACCTGTCCTGGCCAGCCCCGAGGCGGCGTCCACTTCCTATCTCCATCTCTATCTCTCTCTGTCTGTCTGTCCATTTTTATGGACATGTGCGTAAGCGATCCGTGCGAAAAATGGGCGCTTCGTAGCAATTACCTTCAATGCGATGAAGAAGAAGGCAGGGCAGGGTAGGCTAGGGTAGGATAGCTCCAGCCAAATACGAGTTGTAGATGCCACACTGGCGATAAGCCGCACTTCCAGCTCCACTTCCGACTGTGCACGCCTACGCACCTTTTG